CACTAGAGAATCCAAATATGTTTCAGATGCATTTTATAGTGATCAATATGGTTAACACAAACTTGTGCAATTTGATCGGATTCCAGTAATAAGATCTTATTGAAAAGAATCGATTTCTAACCGATCTAATCAGACATTTCAGATTGATATTTTAGAATTCCACTAAGTTTCTATGTGCATCAGGAAAACGTTCAGGAACCTTTATACATAATAATTCTAAATTCAGATTTACTGCGAGTGATTCCATTACCCAAACAATCAGGGGTATTCAGGAATATACTTTGAATTCATAGGATTTCAGTCCAATTTAACCAAATAAGGTATTCAGAATCTTTTCCTTCTGCGTTACTTGCGTTTTCAAACATGACCGAAGTAATTTTGATGAAAATATAGAATCGAAGATTCAAGTCATTTACAATCTATGACTATCGATCGTATTCTCAAACAACTCGAGTTACACAACTCCCAAACTGATGCATATTAACAAGTCAATTCATTATCCTTCCAGTGTATTCACTCTTTAATACCATAATGCAGATCCATAGATCATCCACATAATCATCGTTGAATATATCTTCCAACGGTCTTTATTTTATTTCCACATTTCAACGATATCAGGAAATATAGACGTACTTGATTCATGGTTCATAACCCATAAAGACAATTCATCATGTAAGTTCAATAGTGTTTCCAAACTCATCCAAATCACTTATTTAATCCTCATTCATTGAGGTTAATTAGTTCATTTAACAATCATGTATATTCTTGTTACTTCAGAGTTTTCCAGAGTAATTCAGACGTTTCTGAATTCCAAATACATATTGCATTTCCATTCAGTTCAATTTAGTTATATACTAGAGTCATTCTAGTATTCGTGGTTGATTTATCTTACGGATATCCATTACTTACTATCGAATATGCTCTAGCGTTGAGTTGAGTACTTCCAAAATTATCATCAATTCAAACTTGAGGAAACGAACAAGCATTCAAGAGGTTCATATGCCATTCAAGTATTGATACAGCACTAGCATTGGTTGACCAGCTTAAGTTGCGTTCTATAACCTTTAAGAGCAGTACAACATCCATGTTTATTTGAATTTCTTAAATAATCCAAGACATTTACTTAGTCTAGGACATAAGGGTATTTTGGTCCTTTTTATGCTCAATGATCTACCATTCATTTCAAAGCTTGAGGATATCCATTCATTTCTGGCTTGGTGATATTCTTTAATCATTTTCATTACAGGGGCATTTTGGTCATCTTACAGATCTAGATTATTTCAATCATTTTCCCTTTTCAATCTTATTATTTAATTCAAACTTATCATTTATGTCAGTCCCTTCGAACTATTCTGACAATATATCACCATCAATAAATTATTATTCTTCGTGTACTTACTAAAGTCAGAGATTTCCCGGTTAAATGCATTCTCAGATGTTACTAATGAATTATCATAAATTTTTCATACAAAAATATGATCTAAACAATCAAATCATTAATTTATTGGTTTAAAAATAAATTCTCATGTTACTTTCTCATTCAGAGTCAACTTGGACTATTTTTACCTTAAGGGCATTTTCGTAATTTCTTAACCAGATAATTTCGGTATTAACTCTTAACAAAAATAATTATACTTTAGAGATCCAATGGTTAATTGTTTTCCCGAACATTCTTTGATCTTGAAATGATTCTTTAACCGACTTCTAGTATCTTGCATAAACCCTCTTGGGTTTAAAAACCAGTTATCCGTATTTCCTAAGCAAAACTAGCATTTCTTATGCACATATGAAATATTACCGAATCAATATGTCTTTTCAGAGTTATTAACCAACTTCCAGGGACAATTCTTGTCATCTTACAATATAAGGGTATTTTCGTAATTTTTTCCTACCGAAGTATTCTCATAATTTCCCATCCAAGTATCTTTAACATTTAACCTTTGATGATATAAAATATAAATTACAAATCCAGAGCTGATTTCTTTATCACCAATCACAAACTTATAATTTAATTTTAACAATTCCTCAATCTCTTATATTAGTCATTCGATCCGTATTCAGTTACAGAATTTCTATCACATTCATATCGAGTGTATAAATTATTCAACTCCATAAAAGTGATCAACATTATCTTATTCATGCATTTACCAATATCAACATGTTCCATAAAGCATAAAGAGGTGGTAAAGTATTACCTCGATTTCCGTGCAATACTGATCAACCAATAAATTCCATTTGAACGCCCTCGATCTTGAAATCATCTTCCAATATTCCCTCGGATCCATATCAACAAAGATTATATCAGAAACGAAGCTTAATTAAGATAAATGGATCGAATCAGATGATAAATCTGTGAAAAACAGCTTACCGGGTTCGAATTTGGCGAAACGGACTTCGGATTCGGATTCAAGACGTCGAAAGCATAAAATATGACTTTTCGAAAATTTGAAATTTTATGTCAGAATCAAAGTCAACGGGTTTGACCGGCAATTACGAGGCCTTCAAGTTCGAATTTTTAAAAACGGACTACGGAATTGGATTTGGAACGTCGAAAAATGTCAGGATAGGTATACTCGGTCAAAGTTAAAGGTCGTTTAATACCCGGTCAAAGTTTTGGTCAACAGTGGTCAACGCCGGTCAACGGTCAACGAGTCGGGTCAACGGGTCAGGTCGGGTCAACAGGTCGGGTAAACAGGTCTGGTCGGGTCGGGTTATGACCGGTCAAACCGGTCACTTTTCCCTTCCCCACGTGCAGTGGCGGCATGTGGGAGCGCGTGAACAATTCTAAATTCCTGGAAAAATTCCTAAAAATTATTTTAAGCGATTTCGAGATACTTACAAAGCTCGGTTCACAATTTTGAACGGCGGAGAGCTCGATTTCAACAAATCGGAAACTTTGACCGCTTCACCTCCTCACGCGCCGCCGTCGACGGAGACAAAGGATTACATCGGCGGACTCGGAACGATGCAAGGAACACGATGGTGCGGGAGGTGTCGTAAAAGGATGATCGGATCGTCGTGAATCGATGAAAAACCAACTAAAATCGAGTTATTACCGACGATGCTTCCGACTGAAATTAACGACAAACGGTGACGATTCACGATGAAAGGTTTGTGGGGTTTTGTTCCTCGCTCGACAACGAACACGATGGTGGTTTCGGCTCGTCGATCGGAGGTCGGACAGCGAGTAGATCAGAGTTGAAAGTTGGGTTGAGGGAGAAGAGAAAAATTAGAAATCTGTAGAAAAAACATACGGGAGGGGTTATAAATTTTCTCATAAAGGAAAATGGCTAAATTATGAGTTTAGTCACTGAACTTCCTGCACTTCTTAAAATTGTAAGCCAACTTTACGATTTTACAATTTAATCATCAATTTCCTTCCAGAATTCCAATTAAATCCAATATTTTATAATTTCTTAAAATTTAGCCCCTAAATTAGAGTGTTACGATATGAAAAATTAAATTAATACTATTTATGTCTCATTTAAATTGTCCATTATTAATTCTTTTTGGTTATTTTTTTTAAATTTATTATTGATAAAATTATGAAAATATATATTTTAAAAACCTTCGATGAAGTTGTTTTAAAATATCTATTTTCAAAAAATTAATTTTTAAAATATTTAAAATAATTATGATCCTAGTTTAAAAAATTTGACTTTTGAGGGACAATTTTAATGAGACAAAGGAAATATTTAATTAGATTAGGGATAATATTCGACATAAATAAGTTTATGGTAATGTTCTTTTCTTCTTCTTTTTTTCTAATAAATTCTAAATCTAGTTATAATCTTATCTAAAGGGGAGAGAGAAAGGAAACTCTAGGTGTAGGAAGGGGAATGAACGTATGATCTAAGAGAATATGAGAAACAAAGATGAACACATTAATTACTCGACCAAATATTCTTGTTCAATAATTTTTTTTAATTTAATGATAAATTATTATTTGATTGGTGCCTACAAGTTAAAGTTTCTAGTATAGTTCTAATATAAGATACTCTTCTAATATTTTAACCTCCTTTTCACCTAATTATAAATTTAATGAATAATAGCATGGCAATTATTAGCTTTCTTCTGTTATCTTTGCCCTTTATAAGTGGCAATTACTTGATTTCATTTAGGTCAATGCCAAAGTTTGTTAGGCTTGAAATTGAAGGTTGTAATCAATAATATGATAACCTACACTTTTAATATCCTAACTATTAGTTTTGTTCTATTTTAATCACTCAACTATTATTTATCAAAATTATGCGAACATTATGTTTTAGTTTTATTTTGGTCACACACTGTTAAAAAATTAACAATTAACAAAATTACTGACGTGAAAGTTTGTTAAAAATTCAATGATAAAGTGACATTACTTTATGGTGGCACATCAACATCACTTTTGATTTTTTGCCTTTATCACAAATAAGTATCTAAAATATATCACATTTTTCATTTAAGTACCTAAAATATTTTATGATCAAAGTAAGTATCTAAACTTATTTTTTTTGGTCAATAGATTCTTAAAATATTTTTTTATCAAAACAAGTACCTAAAAGTATTTATTTATTTTTATCTAAGTAACTAAAATATTATTTAATTAATTTCGTGTGTCAACATTTTTCGAACTTAGGTAAAACATTGAATATTTAGATACCTATTTTGACTAAAAAATAGTTTAGGTACCTATTTTGATTGAAAAATACTATATTTACTTAGATGAAAAAAGAATATACTTTAGATACTTATTTATCATATAAACTTTAATTTTTTAACGATGAGTGACCAAAATGAGATCAAAACGTAAAGTTGGATTTGATTTTAAAATAAATAATAGTTGAGTAATCAAAATAGAACAAAAGTTTGGATAGTAAAGGTGTAGTTTACCCATTAACATTTAAATATAATGGTTATGTAGCTAATCCCACAATTCACGTTGGATCTCTGGTTGTATTTCTCGTAGTTTTAATGAGAAAAAAGGGTGAGATAATATTTGCTTGGAATGTTCATGTACCTCCTCCATCCATGGGTTGTGGTGTTTCAAGATTACACAACGCTGTAGGAGGAGAGGATAGACACCGCCATCATTTTAGAATTGTACAGAGAAAGGCCGATCCTATTCCTTCCAAGCCATTGGCCGCCGATGACGACCATTCGATGGGTACGGTCAAGTCGGTTGGGAATGAAAAAGATTACCACAAGGATGAGCGTGTGGAGGACGATGGATCATTTATACCTCACTCCCCAAGTTTCAGGGTATATTGCACTCCATCGTTGGATGACAACGCCCGAGGTAACCCATAATTTCCACTTCTGTAATTTGTATAATTATCATTTGGTATAATGATTAACCCTAACCTATTAATTTTTTCAAAATATTCTGTATTAGAAGGAAACTGTTAGTTAATTAATTATTAATTGATGTAATATTTTTACATATCTTTAATCATTGACATGATATATATCACATCATCATTTTAGATTGATGATGTGACACACATCGTGTCACCTCTTTAGATAATGTAACACATATCAAATTAACAATCAAATACATGTAAAAATATCATTTCATCAATATGTTTTGATTGTTAATAAACAAATGACTTTCTTCTAACATAACATATTTTGATAAAAACTTGAAACATTAAAAATTAAAATACTAAAAGTCGTCAAAATGACCATTTATGAAAATATTGGAGGTAATTATATCAGTATACCTTGTTATTTTGGATGCAAAGAGTATTAATCTAATTTATTCTACAGATAAAATAACGGAGAAACAACAAATGGATCATAAGAGTAACAAGGTTCGATATTTGTCTTGCAAATTTTTTTTCCTGGTTTTCAGTAAACTGTGGACGTCAAGTCCCACCACTTGGCAAAGTAATACAAATTTCCATGTCAGTGTTATTTTTACAAATCGACATGGTTTTCTTTGAAAACCTCGTAAATGTTTTCAGCAATCATAAGAGTAACAAATGTTGTTTTGTTTGTTTAAGCATGGATCAAGTACTCGATTGGGGAGCAAAGCTAAAACACGAAAAGGACATAAGAAGGGCTTAATTTGCGATTGAAGAAAAATATTGAAGGTTCTCGTCCAGATGTGTGTACAGATTCATTTGCTTTTATTGAAGAAACAACACAATGTTCCCTATTCATTTTGTTGTTGTATAAAAAAAATAACGCCATAAAACATTCATGTGACCTCAATATTTTTCTTAATGATCACATTGCAAATTATATTAATTTCATCGTTTTTGATAATGCTTAATTTTTTGTTGTTGTCTGTGTTGGTAAAAATATTAAGCAATGCACAAAATGCATGTCATAGGGCGAGTTACTTATTTTGTGAATGCATGTATCAATTTACCTAAGTGGTTGAAATTAAAATTTAATGATTAAATTAAAAATTGGTAAACTTTAGTGAGTAAAATAGGAGTTAGAGTAGAGTTCAATGGTAAAAGAGTGTAATTTCTTTTTTATTAAAAAGGAAAACTAATCGTAACCCAAAGGGATAGAACTCCAAAGAAACGGCAAGCAGAGAAGAGAAGATAGCAGAGGTTCCTTCCATGGAGCTGACAACAATTCTTCACTCTTCCCTCACTAATCCTCCATTAAGCCCTAATCTCTTTCATTCAAAATTTCCCCAATCTTTCTCCACACCAATCCACCACCGCACTTGTCTTCCCTCTCCATGTCTAACCTTTTCTCCTCCTCTTCCTCCAAAATCCTTCTCCACAAACTGCTCTGTCTCCGATGACCCAACTTCCGGTGAGTTCATTCTTACCTATTAAAACAACGAATTTCAGCAACCCTTTCAATGAATTGTCTTGGTTTTGAAACTTTCTCGTCTTTTGGTAGCTTTTTTCTAAGTTTATGGAAATATTGCTGAATCGAATTGCTTTTTCTATTATTTGAGATTTTATATGATTAGTTGAGTTCCTGGCGATGCAGTTGGGATTTAAATTGAGGCTTAATTTCAATTTGGGATACCTTTTCCACTAATTTTAGTTTGTAATTACTCATTTGTATGGATTTAAATTGCCATTTTGGTCAAGTTTTCAGTTACATTGTGTTTATTGCAATTGCGACAATACTGAGTGCTATTATGGTCATAACGGGTATTATGGTTGTGCAATAACAGTTTCGGGTGGCACTTTTAACGGCCCTACTTAAACCCTTGCTCATTTGTTATTATGTGAGATTGTATATGAATAGCTTAGTTTTGGTAATGGAAAGGAATTAGAAATCCATACTTTGTTTACTTATTTTTTTGTTTGGTTTCAGCAGCTAATGTATTTACTGCCGATCCCTCCATCGCTTTGAAGGTCAGATTTTATTTATTTATGTAACTGCGTTTAATTTGTTATGTAGAGAGACATGGGAAGTAATTTAAGAAATTTGCAATTCATGTTTCGATTCATCTTTTATTAATGAAATTGAGTTGAAATTTGGATAAAATACAACTCTTTTTCAACAATAGAACTATGGAAGACTCCAAATCATAGAACAATTTAAAGCTTGGATCTTTCTCTTTTATTCTTTGGTGATTTTCTTGTGATTTGAAGTGCTCACTTTAACTGTTCAGTCTAATTCAGAAGAAAGCTGCGGATATATCTGCTGATCTGAGAGGAACTTCTCTATTTCTTGTGGGTAAGCTAGCATTTTGTCGATGCAGATAACAAATTCGAACCCCTTAATCCTGTAACATCTGGTTCTAAGTTCTAATACATGTTTGGTGATCATTTATTTGACATGAAAGGGATGAATAACTCCATTAAATCCAGTTTGGGGGCACTGCTAGCGGACTTGTTACGATACTATTACTTCGATAGGTATTATATTTTCCTGTTACTAAATATTGGAAATAGCTTTTATGTTCAAGATATGTTAGCTAAACTTGTTTATGTTTTCTTCTATATATAGCGATGCTTTGGTTTCAGAAGCTGCCGGGGGTGAATCTGCCGCCGTATCCTTAAAGGATACTGATGAAAAGGGATTCAGGGAGTCTGAGGTGCTTTGTCTTTTTGAACTTTTAACTTATTCGGCATTGCAATATTTTGATTAACAATGAAAATTTATCAGTCAAGCAGAATGGTAGATAAGTTTTTAATCTACTGGAGTCTTGTGATACTTAAATACTATGGAGCAATGAGTAATGCATAAATTATCAGGCTTATCTTCGTTCTAAATATTTTTGCAGACAGAAGTATTGAAGCAGTTATCATCAATGGGCAGATTAGTGGTGTGTGTTGGAGATGGTGCGGTTCAAAGTTCAACAAATTTGTATGATGATCTTTGCATGGTTGAATCAGTTGTTTCTCTTGTTTGTTTTAGTTATTTTTCTCCATATTGACCGAATTTATCTTACTCATAAAAAGGGCACTCCTAAGGCATGGCATCTCGATATGGATTGATGTGCCCTTGGACATAGTAGCCACAGGAGTAATCGGAAACAAGAGTCTCCTTTTGTCATCAGAAATAACTAATTCTGGTTCTTATTCTGAGGTATTGCTGTTGATTTCATTCTTTCATTATATGAACTTCCCTTTCTTTCTTGCAATCGTTCTCGAAAGGGTTTACTCTGCATCTTTCTGATTTCTGACAATTCTTGATATACGATAGGTTTTTTCACAACTATCAGCTCTTTATGAAGACATGAGAAGAGGATATGCTACTGCTGATGCAACTGTTTCGTTACAAAGTACATACATCCCTGCGACCTATGTTTCTTTTTATGAGAATAAACTGTAGATTGTTGGTTCTAACTTTTAACTGCCCCTTATGCAGAAGTAGCATATCAGCTAGGTTACGAGGAAATGGATGCAGTGTCGACCGAAGGCCCAACTTTGGAGGTGGAAAAACATACTTCGAAATATTGTATTCCTTTTCTTTTGGAATCAAATGGGAGTTTTCTTTAGGTACCAATAAAGTAGTTTTCTGTGATATTTTCAGGTTCTCAAGGAGATAGAGAGACTTACAAGAGTGAAAAAGATGATGGAGGAAGCAGCTAGACCATTTTAGTCGACAGGGAACAGGTTCTGTATGGAATGTAGCTCAGATCGATATTGTTCTCGTGTTTGTCTCTGGTTTGGTACTCTTGAGATTCAGTTTTTTATATTGTTTAAAGTAGTTTAAAAGATGCAAAGGTGACGCGTTCACTTAACTGCATTTTTCAACATGAGAAATGCATCTGAATTCTGAACATTGCAGCAAGATTGGGTAAATGCATGGTCTACATTAGTGAGTAAGTTCTTGATTCAGGTTGATCTTTAGAACAATGATTGTCGAAATGTTGGAAAACATAATGCCTTTTGCAAGGCGTCTCTTATGGTTTGATATTGATGGCCATGCATTAGCATTAGTACCAAATAAGGGGTACCTACCAAGTACCATAAATTTCAACCATTTTTATTTTATGCTTCATTTTCAAGGGGTTTTCTCCCTTTTACCTTTCATTTCTAGTGAGATGATAAATTAATAACAAAGTAATGAAGCTTTAGGCCTGCACCATGTGAAAATGCGTAGATCATGCATTTAAATAATCATTTATTTTAATTATACACCTAAAATGATAGATCATATGACAAAGTATCGGTCGTAATAGATTATGCACTTAAAATTATAATTTTTGATAATGTATGAGATGTTAGAAACTTACCTTAAAAGAAATTGTACACCTAAACGGAATAAAAAGGGAATTTTACACCTAAAAGGAAATAATAGTTTTTTAATTAATCCTGAAAGTTTCCATGCCAAAAGCAGACTTTGTTTTGCTGACTCAGTTCCTGTATGTAGTTATCGCATGTTTCATTTCATCTCTTAATAACACTAACCCGGCTCTAATATTTTGAGGGGTATCGGCATTTAAGTTATTGGAAGAGTAAAATGAGAATATCGAAGTTAACAAATGGAGTTAAAATCCGTCAATAATGATCAGATTGACGCCTGAACTGGAAGAGGTTGGTAGGGGTGTAAAAAATTAACCCGACCTGTAAAACTGATTGAAACCGATTTGAGTTAAAACTATTTTTGACATGTGCTGTGACGATCCGAAACCGACTTGAGTCGGAATTGGTGTTGACATGAACCCAAGTTGGACCTGAAAATTGTGGATCTAAACTCGACCTACATTCGACTTGAGAACGACCTGAACCCGAATTGAACCGAAAATATAATACCTGAACCCGAACTGCATCCGACTGATATGAACCCGAACCCGAGATTGACCTGGTAAATAACTGGTATTACCCGACCTGTTTTCAACCTGACCTGTTTTTAAACTGACATATTTTTAACCTGACCTGTAAATGATCCTATTTGTTAATAATCTGATCTAATATTTACCTGACTTATATATTACCATGGACGAAATTATAAGATTTTAATAAAATTATGAGTTTTTTTAGTTTATGATGTAATTAAAAAATTAATATGATTACTTTTTAAATGTTATAATAAAATCTTTATTATGATAATTAAATTAATAAATAGACCTATTATATAAAATTATTTAATAAAATAATAAAATTATTTAAATGTAAATTAGATAAAACATTATTAAAAATGAAAAGGAAAATTAATATAGTTTAATTTATATAAATTATATAGTTTAATTTATATAAAGAAAATATAATATTAATAATGAAAGTATTTATTATGTAATATATATTAACATTTTACATTATTAATATAAATAATTTTGGCAATACATTAGTTTACATATGCCCAATACATAAGTCCACTCTTTTATTACAAATATTTTAGTTGCATGTTAGGTTAATTCACATTAATAGAACATTTATTTTGTTGTTATGAATAAGTAATAATAAAACCCAAAAATAAGTCCATTTACAATAGTGTTAGTCCATTTACATTAATTTACATAGGCCCAATACATAAGCCCACTCTTTTATTACAAATATATATGCATTAATGTTAGTCCATTTACATTAAAGTTTAGTGTTATGGTTTAAAGTTTAGGGTTTAAGATTTATGATGTAAGATTTAGGGTTTCTATAAAACTATATACTTTATATAGTTTATGCATAGTATTTCTATAAACTATATAAGTAATTTACTTTATATATATAGTTTATATATACTATACTTGGTTTATACATACATATTATATAAAATTATTTAATAAAATTATTTAAATGTAAATTATATAAAACATGATTAATTAGGTGTTAAATAATTAGTATGTCACATTGCATATTATATGGTTCATAAATAGTAGTACATGTCATATTAATTTCATTTGCATAATTAGTATTTTAGTTGCATGTTAGGTTAATTCACATTAATAGCCCATTTATTTTGTTGTTATGAATAAGTAATAATAAAACCCAAAAATAAGTCTATTTACATTAGTGCTGCTAGTCCATTTACATTAGTTTACATAGGCTCAATACATAAGGCCGCTATTTTATTACAAATATATATGCATTAGTGCTAGTCCATTTATATTAGGGTTTAAGGTTTAGAGTTTAGTATTTATGGTTTATAGTTTAGCATTTAGGGTTTATGATTTAAAGTTTAGAGTTTTTATAAAATTATATACTTTATTACTTTATATAGTTTATGCATAGTATTTCTATAAACTATATAAGTAATTTACTCTATAAACTATAAGTTACATATATAGTTTAGGGGTTAGGGTTTAGGGTTAAAGGTTTAGGGCTCATGATTTAGGGTTTAGGGTTTTTTATAAACTATATATTTTATTACTTTATATAGTTTATGCATAGTGTTTCTATAATATATATATATATATATATATATATATATATATATATATTTATAGATTAGTTATATTAGTTATACATACATATATATATATATATACTATATTAATATAAATTATAATTTATAAACTATATATTGTATATAGTTTATACATACAAACATACATACATACATACATACATACATGCATACATGCATACATGCATACATGGATACATGCATACATGCATACATGCATACATGCAGACATGCATACATGCAGACATGCAGACATGCATACATGCATACATGCATACATCCATACATGCATACATGCATACATACATACATCCATGCATACATCCATGCATACATACATCCATGCATACATACATATATACATGCATACATACATGCATACATACATACATACATGCATACATACATGCATACATACATGCATACATACATGCATGCATACATACATACATAAAATTAAAAGTAATTAGAATATATACAAGATTAAATTGCATCGAATTGAAATTTGAAGAATATATTTACAATTAAACCATGACTAAAATGAAAGAAATCAAAAATCAAATACAAGTGGAAAAATGATGATTGTTGGAGGAGCATGAGCCTAATTAACCCAAAATATCTTTACAAATAAAATCTCAATTCTCAATTTCCCTCCAAATTTTTCTATTCTCTCTAAATTTTTCAATTTCCCTCTAAATTTTCAATTTCCCTCTAAATTCCCAAATAAAATAAAAAAATTTCACACAACAAAATCTTTATTTTAAATAGTTTTCTTCCACCAATCACTTTGAATAATATATACACTATATTAATATAAATTATAGTTTACAAACTATATACTTTTATAGTTTATACATAGTTTACATATATAGTTTATATATATAGTTCATATAAACATAATTTATATATATAACTTATAATAATTATATATTTTAAAATATAAGTATAGTTTATATAAAAACTTATATTATATATATATATATTATATTTTTTTCAATTTTTAAATGAATGTAATTTTCTATATTATTCATTATTTCTTCACATTTTGCATTTATTTCGATTTAATCTTTTTTTTAAAAAATTTATTTCAATTTTATGTCTTTCACTTTTATATGTATTCAATTTAGTCCTTAAATTTATATTTGTATCTTCATTTGTCCCATTGTTAGTTGTTATTTATATTTTTGTAACTGGCCTATAACTTTTTAAATGTGTTTAATTTAGTCCTTTTTTATATTAATTTAAACCTCATATTTTAAATTTATTTCGATTTAGTCCCTTACCTATGTGTGATGTTTAATTTATATTTTAAAATTTTATTTGTAATTTTAAATTTCTTCAATTTTATCCTTAAATTTATATTTTTTACAAAATTGATCCATGGATATTTATTTTTCTCTTAATTTACTCGAAATCATATACAATTACAACTTGCAATTCAACAATCACGAAAGATGACAAAATAATTAATCCAAAAATAAAAACGACCCTTCATGAACTCAATCCGTATCTGGTAAACATCCGACCTGAATTTTATCTGTCAATGATGTGACCCGATCTGAACGAGATCCAACTGAAGTCCACCCGAACCTGAATTAACTTGGTCTTTATCTGCTTCGGACCTGAACTGTTTTGACCTGAACTGACATCGATCCGAACTGAAAATGACTTGACCTGAACCCGATCTGGTGTCAAATCAACCTGAAAATAACCCGAACTGATTTGACCTGAACCCGATCTGGATCTGGTGTCAAATTTACCTGACTTGACCTGTATCTGATTTTACCCGACCTGACAGGATCCGATTGAAACCTGAACAATTACCCGACTTTACATCCCTAGAGGTTGGTCAGTCATCACTTAGCGTGAATGCCAATAACCCAATTTCACTGCTATACGTCAGTCTTAATATACGACTAAAAAATGTCTTATTGAAAATGTTAATATTTTTTTAATATTTCCAATAAAACGTTACCTAAAACATTATTTTTTATTGGAAATGTTAATTTCTCTAACTAATTTCCGGTAGAATCCAATATTAACATTTACAGTAGAAAAAAAATATTGTTTTAGGTAGCGCTTTACCGGAAATGTTAAACATTTTAGGTAGCGCCCAATATTAATATTTCCGATAAAAAATAATGTTTTGGATAGTGTTTTACCAAAAATATTAAAAAATATTAACATTTTCAATTGCGACTTTCTTTAGATGTATTAAGGTTGTTGTACCACAGAGATCCCAATTTCACAATTCTCCAATCCTCTGTGTTGATGATTGGCTGAGTTTCCTCCACGTGTCCATCATATGCTCAGGCTGAGCTGTTTAACTAACAAAACACTCACTGACATGTATAACAAGATTACGACGGAGCTGAGCCTTGCTGTCCTTTTTTCCCATTTTTCTTTTCTTTTAAAAAAACAAATATGAAAGATGGAAATGGCACAGTGGGGTCAGGCACTATATACATATACTTTCTCTCTG